TTTCTTATATATATATATATATATATATATAAGATTTATGGTGAAATTTGTAATGCAACTAAACACACCAGTCGTTTTTGTGGAAAACTAATAATAAAGCTTGGTTCAGATTTAAATATTAAAGTATCATGAAATAATTTAATGTTAAGATTTAAAACCTTTCAATTAATATGTATTTTTGTGTACAATATATTTCCTTAACACAAAAAGTATTTTCAAAGTTGTAGTTACAAAAATATTTTGTATAGATATAAATGGCTTATCTCAGTATCTAGCACAATAAATATATACATCTATATATCTATTGAGCATTTTTTTTTTGAGCTTAACCAAAATAACAGAGCTAATATGTTTCTTGCAGTTCTTGTTGTACAAGGTTTACTGGTGAATGTCAGTTCTCTAATGTACAGAGGGTTGAGTATGATATATTAAAACGACTTTGGAGCCTCACCAAGTAGTTACTATCCATGTCACCAGATCAGGTCATACTCTATCTGACGATCGTGCATCTTTACAATAGCCTTGCAATGTAGATTTTATTGCTAAAAGCTCCCTGATAAAACAGTCATATACAAAGCACTCCGTTCCTCAGAGGACAGCGGTTTTCCAATGCCTTTTTTCGACAATTCGTTCTTACAGATATCCATAGGTAACTTTACCGGTTTCTTTAGGTATAGAACGAAACATGTTGGCCTCGTTTTGAATATGGAGATCTTCTATATTATGTTGTGAACTGTTGCTTAAGCCACGTGGACGGCTTTTGCCACTGACCTTTGTGTTCGCGGATTCTCACCTGTTACAAGACGGACTTTGCCAACTACAGCTGGGGTACGACTTGTTGTAAGTCTCTTTTTGGACGTTCCTGTGCCTAAAGTTGATCAATAATCTTTTGTTTTCGAGTTATATTAAATACAAAGGATATCTTGGAAAATCTAAATCCCTGATCTGAACACATCATTACGATATGAATATGTGAATATTTTGCGTCGTAAAGGACTGTTACTTACCTTTCTCAGAAACGATCACTCTTTGGTGGAGTATTTACTATGACCGCTAAACAATGTAAAAATGTAGTTCTGATACAATCTGTTTCACGCAACTTTTTATTAACTGTTGTTGTCACGTGAATTAATGACCTATTTGTTCGTGTTAATATAACGTACTTACCACTGTGTATTTATAAAACAATATATATAATTTATTTAGCAAACTGAAGAAAACTTGTAAGGTTAAACACACACAGATCTACATACACGTATATCTTGGAAATTCTTTACATAAGATATATTCACGAAGTTTACTTAAGACTTCTTATGTTATTTTAAGCAGGAGTAAAATTATGATAACAATTCAGACAACAGTAGAAGGTGATCTTATATATAAGAGTAAAGGTGAAAATGAAAACCACATGATGATCAGGGTTAAAAATTGAAACACATAAATAGTCACGTTAAGCAGGTAAGCTTTGAAAATTAGGTGTGGACAAGAGTCCTTATGTTAAAACTGAAACTATACAAAAATAAAAGCCACAGTAAAAACTTTTAAGAATCATGTTGAAAGTAATGCCAGATAATAATCGTATGAAAATAGAATGCATGTAAGAGTCAGGGCTAAAACCAAAAAGCGTTTACTTGTTCAAAAGCCTAATGTCTATAAATGAAGAAGACATTTTAACAATATCAACCCAGGAACCTTATTTTGGATAGCCAGATAAAAGAACTCGAGAAAATCAAAAGCAAATATAAATTTACCATTTTTTTGCAAGATTAATAGTTAGTGTTATTTAAACACTACAAGTAGAAAAAAGACATATGACATGTAAAAAGATCTTAATATCATTTTTTGGTAACTCGTAGGATTGGATTGTAAAATTGGTATACGAACTAAAACTCCAAATATCCTTTTTTATTTTTGAGTAAAAAAGACAAATTATATTTGCCTCTAATAAATCAGACATAATCGAGCATTACTGTTCTGTTGAAAGTACTTACTTGATCAGAACAATATCCAACTAACCGACTGTTGATTTCGGCATCTTCGAGTTCCGGATGCTCAGTCTTAACTTTCCGAATAGTTTCCGTCCGAGCAGCCAACAAGGCCACAAAAGTCGCTTCACTTGATGTTGTCTGTGGGAGATAAATAACATTTGAGAAATAACAAAAGTCGCCTCACTTGTTGTTGTCTGTGGGGGATAAATAACATTTGAGAAATAACAAAAGTCGCCTCACTTGATGTTGTCTGTGGGGATATACACAGATATACACCAAAACTATATGATTCTGTATATTCTCTATATCATAGATTTTTTAAACCTAAATTTAAAGCAATTTAGAACCTACCTGAATTACTCCGCCACCTTCACTATCCCTCCGAGTGTGTAAGAATTCCTCAGGAAGTCCGATCATTTTCCCTAACCAGTCCATGACAATAATCTCTAATTCCGTGCACGCCGGACTCGAAGCCTGATTGTTCCAGTGTCATAGGTTAGGATAATGAAACGTTGTTAATAACCATATATGTAATATAAAACGATAAGAGTACACATTTATTTGTTCAATGAATAAAAGATGATGTAGAGGCCTAATCTATTCTTTGATTGCTACTCCTTTTCTCTCTTCCAAGCAGCACTGATAAGCTACGAATTCAGTGGAAGTAGCGAAGCAAAGATTAGACAAGTAATAAAAACATTTTATAAATGTAAAACGATGTAGGGATGTCAGTACCAAAAAATGCAAACAAGAAGATAGGGATAATACAGCTATACATAGATCATCCCTACGTGACTTTTAATATTAAAATTTAATGTTACACTGTAAAATGTATACTTGACTTTAATATTACTGAAGTTTGAAGTTATACATTTTTGACTGATGGTGATACAGGTTCTTTATCATAATATTATGGTCATGTCAGGGTAGGCATCAATGTTCTTGTTTGCATTCTTTTTCGCACTACCATCCCTACATCATTTTACATTTACAAAATGTTTTTTATTACTTATTCTGTGACGCTTTTTCACAATCTGAGGTGTTTTTTAAGCGTTGGACTTATGATGTGAATATAAATAGAAAAGCTTTACAGACATCGTAGAATAGCTTTAAGAAGTATGCTACATTTCAGCTTACGTACAATCCAGAAAATAGTAAATGTATTTGCAATACATTTTATAGTGTATTAATTACACAGAGGTTGAGTATTTCATACTAAAATGGCGACTTTGAAGTTTCACCACATTGTTACAGTTTATGTCGCAATGCTCGGTCATGCGCTATCTGACGACTGTGAATCTTGACCATAGCGTAATTTCCATAAGTGCTCTGTATTAAGGCTGTAATGTTCAGAGCGCACCATTCTTTCTTTCAGGGTTTTTGCAATAAATTTAGTGTACGAGGAGGACAGTTTCTGAATACCTGTTTCAACTGTTTGATCATCCAAAATTTATAAGAGCTGCATCTGACGACTTAACCTGAATATCTTTGTTACGGAATAGCGTAAGTACCCATTTCATTCTCCAGCTGCTTGAGGTATAAAGTCGTGACAGAACAACATGTATAGTAGCTACATTTTGATTTTGCTTGGTATTATGTAGGTAATGTGATGCCACCAAAACCTGATTGCTTTTATTAAATGTATACAACAGTCATTCCGACGCAAAATATTCATACGCTCGGACCATAAAGATGAATTTAGATTGAGGATTTAGAAATTCTTTGTACTTAATGACATTGAAAAACAAAGGAATGTGGATCAATTTGGGACACCAAGACCATCCAGAAAAAGATCTGCAACAAGTCGTATTCCAGCCGTGGTAAGCAAAGTGCATTGTCTTGTAACAGGTGAGAGTCCATGACAAAAGCTACCACGTGTTACAGACAACAGTGAGAAACATAACCAAGAAAGTTCTTCATCTGGAAAATTGACACTAATCACATGTACGTAAGCTGCTCCACGAGATATCTAAGAATGGAAGATCAGCTGTTAAAAACTGGATAGATAAACTGTTCCTAGTCTGGAAAAAATAGCAGTATGTGTACTTTGATGAGTGTAACAAATCTCGCGCTATCTTCTACTGGCCAATGGATGAAAAATGTTTCCAAGAGTGGCACATGACATGTCGTTAAACTTATTCCAAGGAATTTATGTTCGTCACTAGATAGCATACCAGGTACAAATTAGGGATCAGGAGAGTGGATAAAAAAAAAAGTTCAAAGTGAACTTTGCTTACTATTAGTCCAATATTCTGGACTCTTTGTATCACCTACAAATACCGGTTTATGGAAACGAATCTAATATGATATGGATCCACCAAGACAAAGCTTCCAGTCGCAGTCAACTGTAAAATTAAATTGGCTTTTATGTCACTCCATTTGAAGACATGTCTATCAAGTCATCGGATACAGTGTCTATGTATTTTTGTGCAATTATACTGTTGATTGTTTGATTAAGTGCAAAGCTACACAATAGGCTGTTTGCACCCTATCAACCACGGGGAAATGAACCCTGGACTTTTGCGTTGTAAGTTCGTAAACTTAGCGTTGAATTGAGTAGGAGACAAACTGTTGAAATGGGAGTTAGGAAACCATTGTTCTCATTCACAAGATGAATTAATGAAAGTACGCAGGGAGGAGTGGTGTACTTTGGACAAAACATCCTAACTAAAGAGCAATATGGATGGAAACTACACTGCAGGGATCTCTTTAAGATGCGTAGTCAGCAGATAGAGCATGCCCGAACGTGGTGAGATGGACTGTATGGACTTGGTGAGGTTCCAAAATCTTGTTAATATAAAGTATTCAGCACTTTTGGACAGGTAGAAATGTTATATTTAGGCACTAAAAGTAGTTTGCAATAAACACTCAAAGAAACACAACAAGAATTATTCCGTATTAAATGGAGTATTTTAACTGAGGTTTATAAAAAATAAGCGTACATATCAGCAAGTTCGTAATAAATACACCATTCTATTAAAGTTATTATTACAAACAAGTAATTCAGTGAAGAAATTGTTGATATAAAGCTTATAATTACTTTTCCTGGTTTTGAATCTGCATTAAAATGTGAGAATAATTTGGAAAATTACAAATTAAACAATTTAATTATTATCGAACTGTCTCAATGAATTAATTAGACTCAATTAGGCATATAAAATTTAAAATAACATTTTTGATGTATAGGAATTCCGTAAAGGTGAAAATAAATCGAATGGTAGGAGGATACATAATATCTATATTAACGTGGATTATCTACTTTAAACAGTTGTAATAATCTTCTAAGTGTAGTGAATTAAAATCATCGTGAATTCTGCCAACTCCAGACAATGCCAAAAGATATTTCCATTTATTTTCTTGTTTGAATCTCACTAAATATGAAATGATTTGCTTTTTACGTTACTACATTTTCGAATTATTTTACTATCGATTAATATAAGTTGCACATGATCATTATAAAGAAAATAATAAGTCCTATTTACTCCTAGAAAACACTCAAATAGTTTTACGTAAAAATGTATACCAGATAGAAGCTATTTTTAGAAGTTTTGATTTTTGTCATTCACTAAGTCTCCACTAGCGAGTACTTACGAAGCCTTATATCATCAATCATCATTTAAAGAAAAGAAACACCTACCCAAGTAAATCCCAAACAGCCGATAGCGTCTGCAAGCATATCTCCTAGTAAAGACGCAGGAGAATTAAGGGCAGGGAAGTACGCATGCATGTACGGGCTTTGCCAGTGGGTAACCTGTAAAGTGAATGAAACGTACAAAGTGTATTTCCTAAAGAATTGATTTATTTTTCATTGGGTGAAGCTAACTTTACTGCACTCAACTAATTTTTATAACAACCAATCATGCATGCGTTCCTGGAGTTTAAAATGTATTTAGGACCATTAAGAAATTCCAACTTTTAGACGCTATACTTAAAAAAGCAAAAAAACTTCTCTGAACCTATATAAAACAATTTTTATAAAATAATTACTCCAAGCAACTAATCACATACGCAACTGTTAATAATTCGCAATATTAGTTATTCATTGGACTTGTCCTATCAAATATTAATAATAACAACATTGGGTAATTTAACCATTTATAACACTGACAGAAGATAATATGACCAGAAATGACTATACACAATGAAATGATTTTTTGGAATATTACTACAGCCGTAATTAGTTTTCTTTATGGTAAAACCATGAAGAGTTTTCAGTAAGGTAACTCACACCAGGCATCACAACACGCTCCACATCGGCAAATATGAAATCCCATGATTCACCCTCTACTGGAGCTTCCTCGGGCAGAAGTGATTTCATGTATCCAGGCTTGACGTCAGGAAAAACGCGTCGATGTCGAATATTTTGCAAGTAGTCAGTGATATAGTCCACTAATTCCTTGCCTAAATAAAACAATATTTTTGTCGTAAAACTGGAACATTTATTAAAGCAGATAAAAATATCTCACTTACACAACTCTTTTGTAAAGTTTGCTCGGGCGGAAGCAACCTGATATATATTGAAGCTTAAAAATGGCATTTGCGAATGTTTTGTAAGTAGCCACTGATATAGTCCAATGAAAGCTTACACAAATAAAATAATATTTTGTGTCATGTCTAAAAAATGAATAATTATAAATACCTCGTAACAATTGTAGTGTTTTCACAGATTCTTATCTTGCACTAAAAATGATGGGTTCTCAAATTTTCTTGGTTCAAGGCTCTTCAGAACGTTCACCTTCCTGACTGAGAACTCTTAAACTAAGAATCCATAGAAATGGGGTGGCTTACATTAATAAGGTTACTCTTTCCTATCTTATTCTCCTCACAGCCACCCACGCTTGTTGTTATTATTAAGGGCGCGGATACTTTTCATGGGGCAGCGTCATTTGGGAGAGAATATTCTAAACATGCTGTGCCTCTCTTGAAATAATTTTATGGTTTATCTGTGGTCTCTGGACTATAATTTGGGAACTCTTGATATACGGCACTACAACTGAGTACTTTCGACTCAAAGATATTGTACATGTTAAAGGAAAAGTTTTAGGTTTAAAACCATCATTCTAGTGGAGTTTCTCACAATATGATCTCATTTTGCTCTTATCGATATATTAGTAAAACCAACACAGAGGACAAAAAACAAGCGAAAGTGAACGATTTTGAAACTGGAACTAAATATAGCATATATTAAACATTATTGTTGAAAGTATATTGATCAAGCCAGGTTCAAAGAACTTACTGTTTTCGAGAGTACATGAATTATTTATTATTACACATTACATTTATTTCGACAGCAGCTCGAAACATCGAATTGTTCAACCAAAAGTACCCCAAAGAGCTACTAACTTTCAGCGACATTTAGACGTATGAGGTTTTTGCCGAAATATTCTATTGAAATACCTCCAAGAAGATATGATAGGTATAGTACACAAATCTTAAATTGGTGTTGCATAGTTACTACGTTCAATTTATCACAAAGATACTATATCCTATAACCCGAGCGCTTTTGAAACATGGAGCTTTCTTCTTTAGGGACAAACTAGGGATGTTACGTTCATATAATCTACACACTTGATATATATGTTTGTTTGATGAGTAATCGATTGATTATTGTACACTTAATTTTTTCTATGTTGTCGTCCAGAGACTGGTTTTAAGCATGCTGTGTTCCGAACTTTAAAGCTAACCTCGTTTTCTGTATTCTTCCAAATCCATGATGATCTCAACCTGGAGTATCAGTCCAATTTTGTAGAGATGACACCTGGTGTAGCCTTTAAAGTTTCTTCTATACTTCCAATGTCTATCTTGTCTGCAAAACAATCACACCATTAATGGTTTGTTACTAAAATTGGAATCAATTTATTAATTTTCGCAAATTTATTATCAATGGTAAAGAAAGTTTATTTGCTGTTGTTAAACTTGGATGATCAAAATAATCGTCATAACAAAACCGCTTATGGTACCACAGTATATTTTAATTAAGAAAGCAGCACTTTTTAATTCTTAGTCATTAAAAGCACGCACCTTTTTAACAGTTTTAAAAGACAACTATTGAAGATATGCGCTGATATCTCAGACATAGTTAAAAGTAAAACTTTTCCTTATGTTTCGACATATACTAAATGTCGTGTATTAATGCAGTTTATTAAATACAGGTAAGGTGATAACACGTAGTATAATGTAAGAATGGCGAGGCTATGCTTGTGTTGACATTTCCAATGTTGCACCATGACACATGGACGATAAATAGAAATTTATTACTGTATTTTAATAAAAGTTAACTGTGCTGTGATTTTGGTAAAAAAATATTGGTGTGGTAAAATCGGCGCTTCATAATAGATATTGTTATGGGCCCGTTTCACCATAATATGTCCAAAGTTAATATGCACATAAATTTTACAATAATTGTTATTTACCAGGAACACGCATGGACTTTTGGACAAATATCTAAAATAAATAAACAAACAATTTACCAATGCATTTGTTTCGAGCGCACTGTGGTCGTGGCGAACTGTGGATCCGAAGTTCCGTGGGTCGTTATAAAAGAACCCATTAATCTATTAGAGTATACCACAATTTGGCGGTGTGAGGCACATTCCTTCTAGTCTATCAATTTCAAATTAGGATCGGCTAGCGCGGATAGCTCTCGAGTAGCTTTGCGCAAAATTCGACAAACATCAAGGAACAAATGTATTCAAATGTAGGTTCATTCACTTAGACAGTACTTGGAAAAATAGCATATAAGCCATTGAAGAAGACAATAGACGGGTGTGGAAGAGTTTTAACTCTATATTTACTTTGTCTGGTTTGTCAAAAAAACAATTTAGTGATACTTCTTAGTCTTTTAATCTTGTGTTGTAACTGAAATAAATTATAACAATTTTTGGTAGTGACTCTTGGAGGACATTCATTCAGGCCTCTGAACGTTTTTAACTACAGTTTATGTAGAATAAAAAAGAAACAAACAAAAACGACAAACTTTTTGGACACAGATGATACCAAGAAGTGTTTAGGGAAATGCTTTCGTCTTCTTCGTCCTACAAAGTGACATAATTTAACTAGCTGGTAAATTTGTAGAGACGGAATGATAAATTGTAGACATGCATTAGTGAATTGACAGGTGGAGAAAAGTCGAGAGGGAAGTGTGAGTGGATGTTTGTGCACAAACCACTGTTTATGTTCCCTGTTCTATGCTACAGCAGCTAAGAGCTAGTACAAGTAACGGAGTTTAACACATGTGTTTTTGAGGAATGAGTACGTTTATTTTAGTTTGTGTGGATACGTTATTTGAGACAACTATATGTGAGTGTGTGTGTATGGTTGTAAGCAAAGCCGATAGCTTTTTAAACATAATATTTATTATTTAATAGCTAAAATTAATATTCTTAAGCTTTGAATATTTATGTACGTGATATGGAAATTAAATGTGTGAATGATATTAAGGTAGAATTTATGAAAATAATAACAAGTGGAAAAATATTTAAAAAAAGTGAAAGTATACGAATGAGTGCACCAAAAAGTGAGGAAACAAGGAAGGAATGGGCATGGTGTAATAAAATTTTCTCAGTACAACTTCACAAGAGGATGTATCCAACATCCGACCCATGCCTACTTCGTTTATTTTTTTCTATTTTGTATACAATAAACTAAATGGACTAAACTTATAAAACGTAGTCATGTTTATCATGCAATGACTAGAGGTTTCTGTGAATCGAATTATTGGAGGCAGTATGTATGTATACGGCACCAGAAGAAGAAGATATTCGGGTGGACCCATAACTTGTATCTTTTTTTTTCTTTACAACATGTTCCTCCTTTTGCGATTGCATGAGAAAGCAACAGGATTTCTTACATTAGCTATATAGGTAGATTAAAACATGAAGATAAAAAATCCTAAGAAATTTATGTGTATCTATGTCATGGATTCGTTACTATTTATACAAAAGTAGAAGAATTATAGACGTACATTTGTATCTACCCATAATTTGTATAATATCATGAACACAGAAAAACGAGGTAGGCATGGACTAGATGCTGGACACACTAATTGTAAGGTTGTATAGAGGAAGTTGTATTACACCATGCCCATTCGTACCTTGTTTCCTCACTTTTTCTTTCATACAAAGTGATATGATCTTATGCATCATTTATTTATTTGCGTTGATATCCTGTATGTATATCATCAGCGTGGGTGTGCACCATAACACTATGGTATGTGTAAATAATGGTATATGTGTGTGGTATGCATTCTCTTCACTTATGGTATGTATACACATTGTGATTGTGCATGTGTGCTGTACATGTGGTGGCACACACCCTATAGTGTGCAATGTCATTTGGGTGATGTAGTGTGAATTGTGGTTGTGTGCATGTACTAAGGGTTGATAAATTAGTTCAGACAAGAACTAGAAAACTGGTATTGCAGGTTGGCATCTATGAAAGAAATATTTATGAAGTCTTGTAAACCAATAAATATACCTTGACAGGAATAGCTTTCGTCCCTTTTTGAATAACGGCGAGACTCATCAATCGGCTCCCACACTTAGTCAGGATATGGAGTGAGCGAGCAGAACTATGTTTTTTAAAATGGCGTCCCTGTTCAAGGTATCACCTGATGCACGTCAAATAGCTGTTTTTTGATGATGTTTGGTACAGAAAAACGCCAGTACTAGCACGTGGTCCCTGTGCTATTGTTCTATTTGGTGCACTTAAAACTATGGTAAGTCTGTTTGTTATACAGTTAGAAGCGCTCAACAATGTCAGTCAGTCAGTGAGATTGAGAAATTTGTGGGTTTGTGAATTTTTGGTAACTTCTCTGCTGACTTTCTCAAGTGGTTATACGAATTGTAATTTTTTATGTGGTTTGTTTGTCACCTAAGTGTGTCTCTCGAATACTTTTGAAGATTGATTGTTTGATTGTTAAAGGTATATGAGTAAATAACTTGTATTGCATGTATAGTGTATCCACCCAATTCCTATTATAAGTATTACTGTACTTATGATAAGTGTAATTTAGCTGGCGTTTCCCGCAGTACCTAATACATTCATTTGAATTTGTCTTTACTAATTCTCAAATATATGGAAAACAAACAGAAACTCTTGAACTGAACAGGTACAATCATAGTCCTATTTCAACCAGTAAGTAGTACGTTCACGACATCAAAGCAAACGTAATATTTTTTGAGAATATTATATTTGAAGCGCTATTCACTGTGAAATAGAGACATATGTAAACGTTAGATTTTCTTTAGTAATTGGACAGCTTTGATTTTCATAAGTTAATTTACTGCATGATCTTAGTAGCATTGTACATGTTTATCCTGTAATGTTTGTCTGAAACTCAAAAGCATGCTTAAAACCAAAGTTTTCAGTTTTTCCAATATAACAAAAGTCTAAAATCCCTGAGAAAGTAAAGAAAGCCGAGTAATTCTTAATAATAAAAAGAGAGAAAATCGCCAGTAGGGTCATTTTAACTGTACAAACAATAAAACCATTTCTGAACATTAATAAACAGAGTAATAAGTAATTTAATGCTTCTAAGTATAGGTTGATTGTTTACTGAAACTTTTATCTTATTTTCATTGATAACCTTCAATTTTTTAATTATTCTCAATTGTCCAAATGTACAATTCAAGTTGTTACAGTATGGGAAGTACTTATGCTGTAATGGATTCCTGTTTAACTTGACCTTTAACCCTTCTTGTGTATAGTTCCCATGTAATGTCTTCATATTTCTGACAAAGTATACTAATGCTTTTAATCGCGTTTTAAATGAAAGATTTAGAAATAAGAGACTAAACTTTAGAAAACCTGATGATCTGTTTTAGGCTTTCGAGTAACAGTAACAATATTTTAGCCACATATTAGTTCATTCGAATGATGCCCATGATTTCGTCAGTGCTCTTGGACACTAATGTCTGTTCTCATATTTGCAGTGTTAAATTGTTGAACCACTTCTGAGACATTATTGGAGAAGAGTCCACTATAATAATCTCAATGTGTGAATGAGTTTACTTTTCCAAAATTAACTAAAACGATGTTTAATTTTAGACTAAATATAATGGCTCAACTAATTGTTTTCCGTTGGTAACAAATCTTTCCGGACATTTGGGAAATCCTTTGTGAGTTTCAACATGACAAAGCACTCCGTCGCCAAAAGACAGTTACACTCACTCCTGAGCTTATGGGAGAAACCCCGATGTGCCACAGATTGGGATCTAGAAAGTCTTCTCATGTAATGAGTTGCATTTACGTCACATACAGATAAATTATCAGTGAACTAAGCGGTGTCTATGTTAATGCAGTGTCAGCTCTTCAGGGAAGCTTAATCGAAACACAGTGCTAAATTTAAATGTTCTTGACTTCTCAGTCACAATTTTGGACAGCAACAGTGACAGCAACTGACAATGAGAATCACAAAATTTTTACTTACTTAATTACTAACATTATGCCTATTACAGGAATGTAGCAATCACTGTTCATTTTATCAGCGCCTGAACAGTTACAAAAAACAAACAAACAAAACAAATGGTGCAATGCAACCGGTTTTACAACTAAAAGTATGGAAGCCTATACTAATTTGATAAGTGTTCAGCCAAAATTTCATTCTTACGAATGAGGGCAAAATATAATACACGGAGACAGAAGCTCTAAACATAATTAAAATATTCATTTTGCTCAATAAGCCGGTGTTCATTTAACTTATAAAATACCAGTTGAAATGCTTTATTGATGTATTAGGTTACAATGAGTTTTATTTCCCAAATGTTTGTTTTAAAATTTCTAAAACCACACAAGAATTTACACACG